TTTTTACTAGAGGCGGGTTTTCTCCATGTTGATCAGGCTGGTCTTGAACTCCTTACATCTGGTGATCTGCCCACCTCGGCCTCCCAAAATGCTGGGATTACAGGCTTGAGCCACCATGCCCGGCCCTGTTGCTTCTTTTATAAACGATCAACAAAATGTCTGAGTATACTCTTACACTTTTAAAAAATGTGGCACTTGGCCAGGTGCTGTGGCTCACATCTGTAATCCTAGCACTTTGGGAGGCTGAGATGGGCAGATCACAAGGTCAAGAGATGGAGACCATCCTGGCCAACATGGTAAAACCCTGTCTCCACTAAAAATACAAAAATTAGCTGCATGTGGTAGCACACACCTGTAGTCCCAGATACTTGGAAGGCTGAGGCAGGAGAATTGCTTGAACCTGGGAGGCAGAGGTTGCAGTGAGCTGAGATCGAGCTACTGCATTCCAGCCTGGTGACAGAGCAAGACTCCAGCTTAAGAAAAAAAAGAAAGAAAGAAAAATGTGGCACTTCATAAATGTAAGCTGATTTCAAGTACTGAATTCCTTCTCAATCTATATAAATCATGAGGACAGGCCACCACCTTGTGCATTGTGTGCTGTGTGGGTTGTGTGCAGACTTAGGGAAATCCTTGGAAAGTTGTATACACCTGAAGACTGGGAACCCTGGCTGCCTATCATGTAGAATTGTGGCCCTAGGGAAACATGCAGATCATCTGATGGCCTCCATGTTCTCCTGTGATTGCGAGAGAATGATGGCAAGGTTGGTCACATCCGCACTGGTGGAAGGGCAGGGACAAAGGCTCTAGCCTTTGGGTTCCCAGCCCATTCTTTACTGCAGCATCATAGAAAAAGAACTTAAATTTGATTTGGAGGCTTTTTTTTTTTTTTTTTTTTGAGACAGAGTCTCACTCCGTCATCCAGGCTGGGGTGCAGTGGTGCAATCACAGCTCACTGCAAACTCTGCCTCCCAGGTTCAAGTGATCCTCCTGCCTCAGCCTCCCAAGTAGCTGGGATTACAGGTATCTGCCACCACGCCCAGCTAATTTTTGTAATTTTAGTAGAGATGGAGTTTTGGCCGGGCGTGGTGGCTCAAGCCTGCAATCCCAGCACTTTGGGAGGCCCAGGTGGGTGGATCACAAAGTCAAGAGATCAAGACCATCCTGGCCAACATGGTGAAACCCCGTCTCTACTAAAAATACAAAAAATTAGCTGGGCATGGTGGCGCGTGCCTATAATCCCAGCTACTCAGGAGGCTGAGGCAGGAGAATTGCCTGGACCCAGGAGGCAGAGGTTGCAGTGAGCCGAGATCGTGCCATTGCACTCCAGCCTGGGTAACAAGAGCGAAACTCCGTCTCAAAAAAAAAAAAAAAAAAAAAAAAAAAAAAAATACAAAAAATTAGCTGGGCATGGTGGCGCGTGCCTGTAATCCCAGCTACTCAGGAGGCTGAGGCAGGAGAATTGCCTGAACCCAGGAGGCGGAGGTTGCGGTGAGCCGAGATCACACCATTGCACTCTAGCCTGGGTAACAAGAGCGAAACTCCGTCTGAAAAAAAAAAAAAAAAGAGATGAAGTTTTACCATTTGTCCAGGCTGATCTTGAACCCTGACCTCATGAGCCACCCATCTGGGCCTCCCAAAGTGCTGGGATTACAGGCATGAGCCACTGCACCAAGCCATAGCAATTTTTAAAAGTTAATTTTAATTAGCTGGGCATGGTGGCGCGTGCCTGTAATCCCAGCTACTCAGGAGGCTGAGGCAGGAGAATTGCTTGAACCCAGGAGGCGGAGGTTGTGGTGAGCTGAGATCGCGCCATTGCACTCCAGCCTGGGTAACAAGCGAAACTCCGTCTCAAAAAAAAAAAAAAAAAAAAAAAAGTTAATTTTAAAACTGGTTCTCTTTTATAGGAAGTGAATGTTTTTTTGTTGTTCACATGTGGTTTTATAAATGCATGTGTTTTTTCAATATGCTTTTTAAAAAAAATAAAAAATCATAAATTAATATCCATTACTTTTTAACACATGATAATTTTTTGTTCAGTAGATAAATATATTATTGCTATTTTAAAAAGATTTTGTATATTTTATTTTTGAGACCAGGTCTCACTCTTTCTCACTCTTTTGCCCAAGCTGGAGTGCAGTGGCCCGATCATGGCTCACTGTAGCCTGTCTTCCTGGGCTCATGTGATCCTCCCCACTCAGCCTCCTGAATAGCTGGGACTACAAAGGTGTGGTACCATGCCCAGCTAATTTTTGTATTTTTTATAGAGAGCGTGTTTTGCCATGTTGCCCAGGCTGGTCTCAAACTCCTGGTTGTGAGCCACTGCATCTGGCCTATTATTTTAAATATAGTTCTCTTTATTGCCAGTAGCTTTCATATAATCACAGGAACTAGATTTAGCCACCACTGCTTAATTCCAAAAATTAAAAGCTCCATTCTTTACTGTAAATAACTCTTTGATTATATTATATGTTTCATTTCAAGAAAAAAGTTAACCTGGAGATTTAATTTTAAATAACGACACATGTTGTCACTAATAGGAATAAAAAATTATTATATAAGAAAAATGATAATTCTAAGTAAGTTTTGCAGTAAATTTTTGGGCAATTTTATTGAAGTATAATAAAATTCAACGATTCAATACATTTTTACAAATGTTCATTGTGATATAGAACAGCTTTATCACAGTATTGAGGTACATTTTAATTATATTCATTAATTACAGATGTGAATTTCTTCAAAGTAAGAAATCCTCAGAGGAAATCGCCCAGTATATTCAAAGCTACAAGGGATTTGTTGAATAACGGTAATGTGTAACAGCAGTTTTTTTCTCAAGTTTTTGGATTACCTGTAAGTGTCTGACTCAGAAGGGCGTAGGCATTCTTTTTATGTCATGGGTTTGATTTAGTTCTTCCTTTCTCCTTTCAGTCCCCTGCCGCCCATCTTCGAAGTGAAAAAATATCACATTCACTTGCTGACTTAGAGCCTTTTTCTTTCTCCAGGGCTGGCTTCTGATGGCCTCTGCTTGCCTTCCTGACAGTCTTCCCTTTGTGAATGAAGCCACTTGCCCCAGCTTCCCTCTGCTGCCTCTATCTGAATGCCTGCTAAGATCTCCTGACCTAGGCGCTGTCAACCACAGTGGGCCTCAGAGCTGGCTCTTCCCAGCTGGCTATCTTTAACCAGTAAGAATTTCCTAGTGGAGAGTGATGGGAAGTCTAATCCAAACTGGATTAAACAAAAATGAGAATTTATTGACTAACATGACTCAGAAGACCAGAACGCTATAGAGAACAGGCCTGATAGTGGGAGGAGGGGTGTTTTCTCAAAAAGAAATTGGGTACAGCTTTCCCAGAAGAAATCAGTTGCTCAGCATGTAATACCCTTATGAACTTAGTTACCATTCTGTGTCTCTTACTTCCTCATTTGCCAGAGTACATCTTTGATATCTAAATGCAAGTCTGTTTTCAAGGTCAGTTTCTGGAAAAAGTGACCCTGAGAAGGCTTCCTGCTGAGTACGGATAAACATTCACAGCATGTGTGTGTTTGTGTGTTTGCACTGCATAAAAACAATTCCAGCATCAACAGAAATCAAAAAGGAATAATTCTCCGATGACATTGCCATTCCATCCAATGAAACTCTTCATTCTGGGGGAGGGTTCTTTCAGTTCTTGTTCATAGCTAGGTATAACGGTGCTAACCTACCCTGTGTTAGCCAGACAGACTCCATTTTGCTGAGAGCCAGATAGACTCCATCTTGACCTCCACCTCACCCCTCCTGCCACTCTTACCTTAAGTGCATACCTGGGTCTTGCTACTGTGCTGGGTCATGCTGTAGTTAGAACTATAGACACATATAACCTTTGTAACCATATAACCTTTGTAACCTTGGCAAGCCCACTTGCCATTATGAATGCCCCCACCTTGACTGGTTATATGACAAGTATCGAATACCTGCCTGGTACCCGGCAATCATGGGACCGCTTGTGTATACCCTCCTTAAAAATCAACAATCATGAGAACCTCCTGCCTCCTAGTTACCAGCCTCCTTATCTAACTTGCTTGTTCTGCTTTTGTAAACTCTGCTCCAGCTAGGCTGCCCCTCCCCTACCTAAATCAAAGTATAAAAGATAATCAAGCCCCTTCCTTGGGGCTGAGAGAATTTTGAGTGGTAGCCATCTCTCGTTCGGCTAAAAAATAAAGGACTCATACTTTGAAACTCAGAGCGTGGTGTTGTTCCATCTAACTCGCCTGGGTATAATAATACTTCATAAGTCAAACAATCAGTCCAGGTGTGGTGGCTCACGCCTGTAATCCCAACACTCTGGGAGGCCGAGGCGTCCAGACCACTTGAGGTCAGGTGTTCGAGACCAGTCTTGAGACCTGCAGCATGGTGAAACCCTCTGTCTCTACTAAAAAAAAAAAAATTAGTCAGGTGTGGTGGCACATGCCTGTAATCCTAGCTACTCAGGAGACTGGGGCAGGAGAATTTCTTGAACCAAGGAGGCAGAGGTTGCAGTGAGATGAGATCACGCTACTACACTTCAGTCTGGGCAACAGAGTGAGACTTGGCCTCAAAAAAAAAAAAGTTACCCTTCTGATAAAGGAATGAAGGTGTATTAAAAAAAGAAAAAAGAAAAAAAAAGTCAAACAATCAACAACTTGAATTTTAATTTCCCTCAGGGAGAACATTTTATGAATTCCTGGGTCCAGAGAGAATTACCTATGGCATCAGGTAAAAACTCAAACATTTTCCAAGGGCTTTCTTGTTTATTTCTTCTTTTGATTTTTTTTGTCCTTATCTCTTTTTTTTCTTTTTACCCCCATTTATTTTGAAGGAAACTCTAGACATCATTCCATCTCTAACTGTGAAGGGACAGCTCGAACATTGATACTTGCAATATCAAAGCCCATTGGTCTCTTTAATTTGTACAGCAGCAATAAAGATATAGAAAAAAAAAAAAAGATGAAAGCCTGCTGGTCTCACCCTGTGCCTTTTATTCAAGCTTATTGCAATGACTGCGTCTTTGCTAATGAAGAACTACAGCTGGACTCTTTTAAGGACTGGCCCTGGGAATCAGCTGTCGAGTTTCAGCACTGGCCAAGGCAGGTCTTTTCTACACAGGTGAGTCAGTGGGTTGTGCCCACTTGCTTGCTTGACCTTTAAATCTGACATAGACTTTATGCTCCTGGGCTTGCGTTTAGCTACACTCAACCATCTCCACTCCAGCATTTCTTACGGATTCTTTTTCTTTTCCTTTTTATTTGGTTTTGAGACATGGTCACCCAGGCTGGAGGGCAGTGGCAAGATCATGGCTCACTGCAGCCTCGATCTCCTGGGCTCAGGCAATCCTCCTGCCTTGGCTTCCCAAAATACTGGAATTGCAGGCATGAGCCACTGTGTCCAGCATAAGTCCCTTTTCTTTCCTGCATCATAAATCTTCTCCCAGTTTTCTGGACCTCCCTTAGATGGTAAAGCTTCAAATTTGAAACCTTAAGGTCTGGACTAACAATACAAACATTTATTTGGGATAACTATCATGTCTTCTCTTTCTACACATTACTCTCCCACCTCTTCTCTGCCCCCCCCCACCCCACCAAGGTGCTCCTAGAAACTGTCGCAGGACACTTCTACTTATATTTGTTTAATCAGAACTTAGTCACATGGCCGGGCATGGTGGCTCACTCCTATAATACCAGCACTTTGGAAGGCTGAGGTGAGTGGATCACTTGAGGTCAGGAGTTTGAGACCAGAGTGGCCAATATGGTGAAACCCTGTCTCTACTAAAAATACAAAAAATTAGCTAGGGGTGGTGGTGAGCACCTGTAATCCCAGCTACTTGGGAGGCTGAGCCTAGGAGGTGGACGTTGCAGTGAGCCGGGATCATGCCATTGCACTTCAGCCTGGGCAACAAGAGTGAAACTCCATTAAAAAAAAAAAAAAAAGAAAGAAAAAGAAAAAGAAAGAAAGAACTTAGATGACCATACCTAGCTACAAGAGGAGCTGGGAAACCTAATCTTTTTCCTGGGTGACAATGTGCCCAGCTAAAAATTGGGATTTCTCTTAGTATGAAAGGACGTGAGATACTAGAAATGTGGATAGCAATCTTTGCCACATTCTGCCTGCAGGAGAAAATCAGGAAAATCATATTCATGATTCCTAAACATGCAGAATCTTCCACCAGATTGTGGCATTTTCTCTTTAGCTGCTGGTCATCAGGAAGCACCTCTGTAATCCACCAATGATGGGGTGGTTCCTCTCAGTTAAAGCACTGCCTGAGATACAAGATGATCAGGGAAGGGTTCCTAGCTACCTCGCTGGTCTTGCTCAGCATGCGTAACTTACGGTGGAGGTTAACGCAGATCTTTGAGAGATCAAGTAGCTGTCACAAATATCACAGCAATACAGAGAAGGAGAAGACAGTTGTCACTCTACCTCACAGACATATTCCATGGGTACAGAAACACCTGACCGCCTCACAATCTTAAGCCTTTGGAAAGAGTGTTTGCCATGTCTCCCTACTCTACTGTATCTTCCTCTTATCAGCCTTCCTCAGGACCCTCTGTCTGGTGTCTCACCCTCTTCCTTTCCAATCCTCCACCTCTTCACGCAAATCCTAGTCCTCTGGCCTTTTTCAGATCTTGCAAGCTCTAGAACCTCATATTTCTGGGAGGTTTTCCTCTGCCCCCGCTTTCCCAGAGTGGAACGAAGATGAGAAATGCTGTTTCTAGTTTGATCCTTTTGCAGCTAAAACCCAATTTATTTCTGAAGAAATATAATCTCACCAAGAGACTTGATTCTATTTCTGGTGGAATAAACCTGGCAATAATGTGGTAAGAGGCAATTGCTTCATCATGCATTCACTTACATAAGGGCTGCTAGATTTGCTGTTTTTTTTTTTTTTTCTTGAGCTCTAAATATATTCTTTCTGATTTGTTCATTAAACAAATACTAATTGAGTGTCTCATGAGTGCTAAGCACTCTTCTGGTTCATGTCATTTAATCAAATAATGAGCAAAACAGACAAAAATCTCTTTCCTCATGGAACTTATTTTTTATTTTTCGAGATGTCGTTTCACTCTTGTCGCCCAGGCTGGAGTGCAATGGAGCGATCTCAGCTCACTGCCACCTCATTCTCATGGGTTCAAGTGATTCTCCTGCCTCAGCCTCCCGAGTAGCTGGGATTACAGGCGCCCACCACCACACCCAGCTAATTTTTGTATTTTTAGTAAAGACAGGGTTTCACCATGTTGTCCAGGCTAGTCTCAAACTCCTGACCTCAGGTGATCCACCCACCTTGGCCTCTCAAAGTGCTGGGATTACAGGCATAAGACACTGTGCCTGGCCCCCTCATGGAGCGTCAGTTCCAGATTCTGGTTGCCAATCTGTTTGTTGATCAAAGGAGAATGGGGCAGAGGGATGGTGCCTATCAAACTGCATGGTGTGTAGGAGCATTGAATGACTACTTGCTGGTTATCCTGTGGATGGGCAAACAGTCTTAGATAGAGTGCAATGGCGCCATCTCACCTGACCACAACCTCCGCCTCCTAGGTTCAAGTGATTCTCCTGCCTCAGCCTACTGAGTAGCTAGAATTACAGATGTGCGCCACCACACCTGGCTACTTTTTGTAATTTCAGTAGAGACAAGGTTTTACCATGTTGGTCAGGCTGGTCTTGAACTCCTGACCTTATGATCCACTCCCAAAGTGCTGGGATTACAAGTGTGAGCCACCGTGCTCAGCCCCTTTCGCATCTTTTGTAGCGCAGTTGTGCTGGCAATTAACTTTATTGGCATTTGTTTGTATGAAAACGTTTATATTTTACCTTCCTTCATAGTTCTTTTCCTTGATAGGCCTATTAAAATATATTTTTTCTTTTGTAAGCCACTTGACCCCTTCCTTAAGGGTCTGCTTTTATTTGGCTCTACATGGCTGACTTTGGACAGAAATATTAAAAGTTCTACTTGTTGTTTTCCTGAAGCTATGCTTCTATTTCTGGACTCATCTCCAAGTCATTTGAAGGCAATATAAATGAAGCATCTGGGCCAGGTGCAGTGGCTCACACCTATAATCCCAGCACTTTGGGAAACCGAGGTGGGAGGATACCTCAAGCCCAGGAGTGCCAGGCCACCCTGGGCAACATAGTTAGACCCTGTCTCTACAGAAAAAGAAAAAAATTGCCTGGCCTGGTGGCATATGCCTGTAGTCTTGGGAGAGTTACTTGGGAGACTGAGTGGGAGGATCAATTTAACCTGGGAGTTGGAGGCTACATTGAGCCTTGATCGTGCCACTACCCTCAAGCCTGGGCAACAGAGTGAGACCTTGTCTCACAAGAAAAAAGTGTCCCTTTGCTTTACTCCTGCTCTCCTGTGATTCCACAGCATGGAATGGGCCACTGACTTACTCACGTGTATAGTTCTCATCTGTCCATTTTAATAATTGCAACTAGAGCTCCTTTTGAACTTTCTCTCTTCTTCTTCAAACATACATCAAACCTGAGTTTAGAGGGTATTTGCATTCTGGTTTCATGACGTTTGGCAAGGAGTTTCTTTTTTTTTTTTTTTTGAGACGGAGTTTCTCTCTTGTTACCCAGGCTGGAGTGCAATGGTATGATCTCGGCTCACCGCAACCTCCGCCTCCTGGGTTCAGGCAATTCTCCTGCCTCAGCCTCCTGAGTAGCTGGGATTACAGGCACACGCCACCATGCCCAGCTGATTTTTTGTATTTTTAGTAGAGACGGGGTTTCACCATGTCGACCAGGATGGTCTCGAACTCTCGACCTCGTGATCCACCTGCCTCGGCCTCCCAAAGTGCTGGGATTACAGGCTTGAGCCACCGCGCCCGGCTTGGCAAGGAGTTTCTAGAGAGTATGTTTGTGGCCATTCTTTAGTTTTGATACCAGTAAAGGGTTTCTTTTTTTACTTTTTGTTTGTTTAAGACAGGGTCTTAGTCTGTCACCCAGGCTGGAGTGCAGTGGTGCAATCACGGCTTACTGTAGCCCCAACCTCCTAGTCTCAAGTGATCTTCTTGCCTCAGTCCCCCAAGTAGCTGGAACTATACATGTGTGCCACTCCCACCCCCTGGCAAATTTTTAAAATTTTTAGTAGAGATGAAGTCTCTCTATGTTGTACAGGTTGGTCTGATCTTGAACTTCTGGCCTCAAGTGATCTTCCTATTTTGGCTTTCCAAAGTGCTAGGACTACAGCCTGAGCTACCACACCCAGCTAATTTTTGTATTTTTTAATAGAGGTGGGGTTTCACCATGTTGGTCAGGCTGGTCTTGAACTCCTGACCTCAAGTGATCCACCTGCCACGGCCTCCCAAAGTGCTGGGAATACAGGTGTGAGCCATCACACCCAGCTTTGTTTTTTTGTTTTGTTTTGAGACAGCATCTCACTCTATCACCCAGGCTGGAATGCCATGGCACAATCTAGGCTCACGGCAACCTCTGCCTCCTGGGTTCAAGCGATTTTTGTGCCCCAGCCTCCCAAGTAGCTAGGAGTACAGGTGTATGCCACCACTGCCTGGTTAATTTTTGAATTTTCCTGTTCTCTATGAAAACAAAACAAAGCAAAATTTTTGAATTTTCTTTTTAACAGACAGGGTTTCGCCATGTTGGCCAGGCTGGTCTCAAACTTCTGGCCTCAAGTGATCTGCCCACCTCTGCCTCCCAAAGTGCTGGCATTACAGGCATTACACTGCATCCAGCACTTTTTTTTTAAATAAAGTTTTTATTTGAAATAATTTAGATTTATAGAAAAAGTGCAAAGTAATACAAAGACTTCTTAGATATTACTGTACCTAATTTACCCTTATGCTAACATCTAACACTAGCATATTTGTCAAATCATCAGTGTACCAATTCATACACTGGTACATTACTATTTACTATAATCCAGATTTTATTTGGATTTCATCAGTTTTTCCAGTAATGTTTTTTTTGTTCCAGAATTCATAGTTTGGTTCATTTTTGATTTATTGATTGATTTTTTTTGAGACGGAGTCTCTCTCTGTCACCAGGCTGGAGTGCAATGGCGTGATCTCAGCTCACTGCAACTTCTGCCTCCCAGATTCAAGTGATTCTCCTGCCTCAGCCTCCTTGAATAGCTGGGACTACAGGCATGTGCCATCACACCCAGCTAATTTTTGTATTTTTAGTAGAGACTGGGTTTCACTATGTTGGCCAAGATGGTCTTGACCTCTTTACCTTGTGATCCACCCGCCTCGGCCTCCCAAAGTGCTCTAGTTTTGATTCTTTAAGTTCATTTTTGTTGGTTTCATTTAGGAGTGTTAAATATGCACTCATTCCACCAAATTCCCTTGATATCCTTACCATTACTTTATAAACCATTTACATTTCTATTGCAGGGAGCCACTGACAGAATCACTGGAAATGATAGTTGTATACTTAATTCTTGTCACTAAAACTCTAATAGTGTTTTTAAAAACCTAATACATGCCCAGGCACGGTGGCTCACACCTCTAATCCCAGCATTTTGGGATGCCTAGGCAGGAGGATTGCTGGAGGTCAGAAGTTTAAAACCAGAACAGCCTGGGCAACATAGTGAGACCCTGTCTCTCGAAAACACACACACGCACACACACACACACACACGAAAACCTAATAGTTAAATGCATACAACTGTATTTACTATGCTGAAACAAACAGTGTGAATAACAACAAAATACATACATACATATATATATACACATGCACACATGCACACATACACACACACACACACACATACACATGAAAACCTAATAGTTAAATGCATACAACCATTTTTATAACTTTTAATTTTTACACTTAGTTGTCCAATTCTCCAAAATATGAAGTCCTCTGTAGAAGTGATTCCAGACCTTCAGAGCCATGGTGATCTTTGTGAATGAAAAATGTAATGAGCACCACCACCTTGTCTGTTTTAGCAGCACATGATCATGTAATTGAAAACTGTTTTGAACAGGAATATCTCATCATAAATAAGTTAATAGATTCTATAAAAATCTACTAAGCATCTATCATGTTCTAGGTGCAGACTGGGGAGATCACAGTAAACCAGTCAGTCACAATACCTAGCTTCATGAAATGTATAGTCAATCTCTTCTATTGTATAAGGCCCAGACTCTTTTAGACATCGCTGATCAGCATCCAGGCTAAATGGATCATCTCTGGATCTTCATTTGAAGGATAATAAGGCTGGATTGGCTACTTGGGCTTTTTGGGGGCTGGAAAGATGTTACTTTAACAAAAGCAAGTGTCCAACAAAATCATAAACCCAGTTAATAGACTGACTACTTTAAGCTGAGAAATCTTACATAGTTCTCTGGGATATAAACCACTACTAATGTAATACACACATGCCCCACCTTATTTTGAGGCTAAGTGTTACAGATGATATGCTTGTCATCCCCCAAAGAGAAAACAAAGCAACTTGCTATTCACTTGATTCATTTTTTATGTGACTTGAAAAATGACACTAAAGAAAAAAAGTTTGGGGATATGGAAATAGCTTATTTTTAAGGAAGAAACGTAACCTTTCTAAATCCCAGAAAATTACTATTACACATCTGGGATTTAGAAAGATGATGTTTCTTCCTTAAACAGTAAGTTTAACTACATTTTTACTATTACACATCCGGGATTTAGAAAGGTTATGTTGGCCGGGCTTGGTGGCTCATGCCTGTAATCCCAGCACTTTGGGAGGCCGAGGCGGGTGGATGACCTGTCAGGAGTTCGAGACCAGCCTGGCCAATATGGTGAAACCCTGTCTCTAAAATAAATAAATAAAGAATGTCTCAAAGTTTAAAAAAAAAAAAGAAAGAAAGAGAAAGAAAGAAAGAAAGGAAAGAAAGAAAGGTTATGTTTCTAAATACCAGGACAGAGACTGCAGCTAATGATTTTTGGAGGATCCTTCTCACTCTAGACATGATTCTCATTACCTGGATAGTATTCACCTATGGAATGTATCATATACGAACCACTGAGGAACACACACTCTTACAGATGTCTGTAGATTATGAATTGCTTTATATTTGGAGCACCCCTTTCTTCAGTCAGCATAAATATTTGAGGGTGGGCTGGGTTTAGAAGATGTTTGGTCCCCAATGATTATAACATGATGCACCACCCTCCTATGCAAATTTTGATTTAAGAAAGGCTTTTATTTTTCAAAGGAAACCACGTGAAAGCAGTCTTGAAGATTCAATAGCAGTTGATCCTACAGTGCCAGGTAAGAACTTTGAAGTAGTATGTGGGATTATGTGTATGTGTAAATATATTTGTATACAGGGAGGTTGCAAAAAAAGAGTATTTATACTTGTCCAAAGAGCTTCCAAAGAGGAGCAGCATTGCAACAGTGTTCTGTAGGAGCAAAAGTCAAGGTTCCTGTGACTTCTCTAGAGTGCAGGCAGGACCAAACTGATAGTAGACAACATGTCTCAGGTACAAGCAAACCGGCCCATAGAAGCACCAATCAGCAAGCTTCTTGCCTGAGATTTTTATTTTTATTTTTATTCATTTTATTTTATTTTATTGAGACAGGGTCTCACTCTGTAATCCCAGCACTCTGGGAGGCTAAGGCGGGTGGATTGCTTGAGTTCAGCAGTTCGAGACCATCCTGGGCAACATGGTAAAAGCCTGTCTCTACTAAAATACAAAAAATTAGCTGGGCATCGCGGCGGGTGCCCGTAGACCCAGATACTCAGGAGGCTGAGGCACGAGAATTGCTTGAGCCCAGGAGGCGGAAGTTGCAGTGAGCTGAGATCAGTCATTGCACTCCAGCTTGGGTGACAGAGCAAGACTCCATCTCAAAACAACAACAACAACAAAACAATAAATCTTCCCTCCCACCAGCCCCTGACAACTTCTCTTCTATTTTCTGTCTCTATGAATTTGCCTATTCTAGATATTATTTATAGGTGGAATCACTTGTTTGGCTTATTTCACTTTGGATATTGTTCAGGGTTCACCATGTTGTAGCATATATTGGAATTTCATTCCTTCACATGTACCCCATAAATATGTACAATTATTATGTATCAACTTTAAAAAAGAACTTCATTCCTTTTTATAGCTAATATTCCCTGGTATGTAGTACATTTTGTTTATCCATTGTCTGCTGAGGGACACTTGATTTGTTTCTACCTGCTGGCTATCATGAATAATGCTGCAATGAACACTGGCATTGTAAGTATCATTTTAAGTTCTTGCTTCTAATCATTTTGGGTATATACCGAGAAGCAGAATTGCTGATTCATATGGTAATTGTGTTTAACTTTTTGAGGAACTTGTACATCTTATATTCCCACTAGCAATGTACAAAGGTTCCAATTTCTTCACATCCTCTTGAGAACTTGTTAATTTTTGTTTTTGTTTTTGTGGAGACAAAATCTCACTCTGTTGCCCAGGCTGGAGTGCAGCGGCACAATCTCGGCTCACTGTAACCTCCACCTCCCGGATTCAAGCACTTCTCCTGCCTCAGCCTCCTGAGTAGCTGGCACCACAGGCGTGCACCACCACACCTGGGTAATTTTTGTATTTTTTTTTTTTTTTTTTTGAGACGGAGTTTCGCTCTTGTTACCCAGGCTGGAGTGCAATGGCGCGATCTCGGCTCACCGCAACCTCCGCCTCCTGGGTTCAGGCAATTCTCCTGCCTCAGCCTCCTGAGTAGCTGGGATTACAGGCACGTGCCAACATGCCCAGCTAATTTTTTTGTATTTTTAGTAGAGACGGGGTTTCACCATGTTGGCCAGGATGGTCTTGATCTCTCGACCTCGTGATCCACCCGCCTCGGCCTCCCAAAGTGCTGGGATTACAGGCTTGAGCCACCGCGCCCGGCAATTTTTGTATTTTTAGTAGAGATGGGGTTTCGTCATGTTGCCCAGGCTGGTCTCGAACTCCTGAACTCAGGTAGTCCACCCACCTTGGCCTCCCAAAGTGCTGGGATTACAGGTGTGAGCCACTGCACCCAGCCTATTTTTGTTTTCATTGTTGTTTTTCAGACAGGGTCTCACTCTGTTGCCCAGGCTGGAGTGCTGTGTTGCAATAATGGTTCACTGCAGCCTTAACCTCTTGAGCTTAAGTGATCCTCCTGCTACAGCCTCCCATGTAGCTGAGACTACTGGCATGTGCCACCATGCCTGGATAATTTTTTATTTTTTGTAGAGACAGTCTTGCTATATTGCCTGGTTTGGTCTGGTCTGTGGTCTGTTTGTCTCTCTTTCTTTCTCTGTTTCTTTTTCCCCCATCTCTGTTTCTCTCTCTCTCTTTCTCTGATTCTCTCTCTCTTTCTTTCTTTCTGAGACAGTCTTGCTCTGTTGCCCAGGCAGGAGTGCAGTGGCACGATCTTGGCTCACTGCAACCTCCACCTCCTGGGTTCAAGCGATTCTCCTACATCTTCCTCCCAAGTAGCTGGGATTACAGGCTCCCGCCACCACGCCCAGCTAATTTTTGTATTTTTTTTTTTTTTTTTTTTTTTTTTTTTTTTTTTTTGAGACGGAGTTTTGCTCTTGTTACCCAGGCTGGAGTGCAATGGCGCGATCTCGGCTCACCGCAACCTCCGCCTCCTGGGTTCAGGCAATTCTCCTGCCTCAGCCTCCTGAGTAGCTGGGATTACAGGCACGCACCATCATGCCCAGCTAATTTTTTGTATTTTTAGTAGAGACGGGGTTTCACCATGTTGACCAGGATGGTCTCGATCTCTCGACCTCGTGATCCACCCGCCTCGGCCTCCCAAAGTGCTGGGATTACAGGCTTGAGCCACCGCGCCCGGCAATTTTTGTATTTTTAGTAGAGTTGGAATTTCACCACATTGGCCAGGCTGGTCTCGAACTCCTGACCTCAGGTGATTCACCTGCCTTGGCCTCCCAAAGTGCTGGGATTACAGGTGTGAGCCACCGGGCCCGGCCCCTAGTCTGGTCTTGAACTCCTGGCCTCAAACGATCCTTCCGCCTTGGCCTTCCAAAGTGCTGGGATTACAGGCATGAGCCACTGCACCCAGCCCATTTTGTTTTGTGATGATTCTCATAAAGCCATTCCAGTGGTTGTGAAGTGGTATCTCATTGTGGTTTTGATTTGCACTTCTCTAATGTCTGAATGATGTTGAGCATCTTTTCATTTTTTGAAAAAATATCTATTTGCTCATTTAAAAATTGTTGTTTTTGTTGCGTTGTTAAGAGTTATTTGTATATTTTGGATTTCACATCCTTATTAGATGGTTTGAAAAGATTTTTCCCATTCCATAGGTTGTCATTTCACTTTATAATGTCCTTTGATATACAAAAGTTTTAAATTTTGACAAAGTCCAATTTATCTGTTTTTTTCTTTTATTGCTGGTTTTTTTGTTATCATATCTAAGAATCTATTGTCAAATTCAAGGTCATAAAGATTTCCTCCTATGTTTTTTTCTAAGAGTTGTATGATTTCAGCTTTTACATTTAGGTCATTGATCCATTTTGAGTTGATTTTTTTTACATGGTGAGAGACAGGAATCCAACTTCGTTCTTTCACGTGTGCAGATCCAGTTGTCCCCAGCCATCTGCTGAAGAGATGCCATGTGTCTTTTGTGAGTCCAAAGAGTAGCACAGTACATAATCAGTAAATGCTGCAAACAGCAATATCTTCACATATGTTCTTTAAAAAAAAAAAAAAGTTTTACGGTATGTGGGAGATTTGCATGTGAAAATAAATAGCTGGGTGAATCAAAATGACAGTTTTAAAATGTTCATTCAGAACTCTTTAGATTAATAATGGGAAACTGTGTGCTGTTTTCCAGACCAAGTCTTTCCTAATCTGGGTAAGTTCCTGTGCCTGAAAGAACTGTGATTCGGGAAGGCAAAATAAATATTTTTTCAATCATTCCTGAAGAATTTCCGAACTTCCATACGGAGAAATTATGATCCAAATTTCAGCTGACTATGATCCTTCCAAACTAGGTAAGGATGGCACTTTAATATACTTGTTTTTACATCAGTTGGAAAAGCTATTTGGCCAACATTTATTTAAGAGGTAAGGGTCCTGTGTGGTTCTAAGGGTATAGCCTGTATCCATGGTAAATTGTGGTGAAAAGCACTCTCTTATTAGGACAGCCAAGTGCTATTTGTAATTATTGAGCTTTTACTACATACAAGGAAGTGTCCAAAGCATGTCACAAATATTAGCTGAGTCTTCATACTCACTCTATGAAGTACAGTACTATTATTAATGCTATTTTGTAGCTGGGAAAACTGAGACATTAAGAGATTAAGTAATTTGCTCAAGGTTATCCAGCTAAGAAAAATGTAGATCTGTGTCTCAGACACAGGAATTTTGACTCCAGAATCAGAGCTCTTAATCCCTAATATAGGCCAAGCATGGTGGCTCATGCCTGTAATCCCAGCACTTTGAGAGGCCAGGATGGGTGAATCACCTGAGGTCAGGAGATCAAGACCAGCCTGACCAACATAGTGAAACCCCACCTCTACCAAAAATGCAAAAGTTAGCCAGACATGATGGCGCATGTCTGTAATCCCAGCTACTTAGTTGGCTGAGGCAGGAGAATCACCTGAACCCAGCAGGCGGAAGTTGCAGTGAGCTGATATTGCGCCATTGCACTCCAGCCTGGGCAACAAGAGCAAAACACTGTCTCGGGGGAAAAGAAATTCCTAATATTACCACTCCAAAATAATTTGCAGGGTTATTTTGTTTTTGCTTAGGCTGGTCTTACAGATCTGCCAGCTCAGCAGGAAGGAAATCTGCTGATCGGAAGCATCTCCCTGTTTCTCAACAGCCTATCCTAATAGTTCATAAAAATGGTGCAGCCAGGCCGGGGGCGGTGGCTCAAGCCTGTAATCCCAGCACTTTGGGAGGCCGAGGCGGGTGGATCACGAGGTCAAGAGATTGAGACCATCCTGGTCAACATGGTGAAACCCCGTCTCTACTAAAAATACAAAAAATTGGCTGGGCATGGTGGCGCGTGCCTGTAATCCCAGCTACTCAGGAGGCTGAGGCGGGAGAATTGCTTGAACCCAGGAGGCAGAGGTTGCGGTGAGCCGAGATCGTGCCATTGCATTCCAGCCTGGGTAACAAGAGTGAAACTCCGTCTCAAAAAAAAAAAAAAATGGTGCAGCCATCTTTCTTAAATATATCATTTAGCAAAATGACTTAGGCACCATCATTCCTTAACTTATTAAAAACTGGACACTAAAGATTGAAGAAATATACAACTGTATGGAATTGACATAAAGAGCTGCATGCAAAAAAATTAGTTGTTGGCCAGGCACAGTGACTCAACACCTGTAATCTCAGCACTTTGGGTGGCCAAGGTGAGAGGATCACCTGAGAGCAGGAGTTCAAGACCAGGCTCGGCAACATAGCAAGACATCATCTCTAATAAAAAATAAAAATAAAAATAAAAAAATTAGCCAAGTATGATGGTGTGCACCTATAGTCCCTAGCTACTCCGGAGGCTGGTAGGATCACTTGAGTTCAGAAGTTCAACCTTTCAGTGAGCTATGATCATGCCACTGCATTCCAGCCTAGGTGACAGAGCAAGACCCTGTCTCAAATACAAATGTATATGTATATACATTGAAGCTGGAGGTGGTAGCAATTTTTAAAACAAATTTAGGTTTTGCTTCAGAGTTGTCATTCCTTTTAGGTTTCTTCTTCTTTCTTCTTCAGAGTGATGGAGTCTCATTCTGTCACCCAGGCTGGAATGCAATGGCACTGTGTCGGCTCACTGCAACCTCCATCTCCTGGGTTCAAGCAATTCTCCTGCCTTGGTCTCCCACAAAGCTGGGATTACAGGTGCCTGCTACCATGCCTAGCTAATTTTTTAAATATTTTTAGTAGAGATGGGATTTCACCATGTTGGCCAGGCTGGTCTCGAACTCCTGACCCTCAGGTGATCCACTGCACCTGGCTCTTTGTATAGTGTTCTTTTTTTTTGAGACACAGTCTCACTCGTTCGCCCAGGCTGGAGTGTGGTGGTGAGATCTCAGCTCACTGAAACCTCTTCCTCCTGGGTTCAAGTAATTCTCTTGCCTTGGCCTCCCGAGTAGCTGGGATTACAAGCACCTGCCACCCCCACTCGACTAATATTTGTATTTTTAGTAGAGACAGGTTTTCAGGGTGGTCTTGAATGCCTAAGGTCAGATTATCCACCCGTCTTAGCCTCTCAAAGTGCTGGGATTACAAGTGTGAGCCATGGTACCTGGCCTCTTTATACAGTATTCTTATTGTGCAAATGTCATCTACAAACTTAGAGATATTAGATGTTAAAGCTGAAGGTGATGTTACTGAATCAATGCCTGTATTTTATAGATGAGAAAATTGTTGCCCAGAGAGGGTCAATAATGTGTCCAAATTCATATCACTTGTTAGTTGCAGAACCTGAACCCAAGCCCAGAGTGACCTGATTCTTAGATCATGACATCATAGTACTTGGTTTTAATTCAATATTATTGAAACAAAGTAAGAAACTACTTGGCTAATTTTGATAGAAATTTGTAGTCTTTTCTAATTTCTGAAAATTCTTGATCTTTTACAGTAAAATTGATTCAAAATTCTCCAAACCTTCATGTTTTCCATCTGAAATGTAACTTCTTTTTGGAATTTGAGTCTCTCATGACTTTACTTGCTTCCTGTAAGAAACTCACAGAAATTTTTTCTGATTTTTTTTTTTAAAGCCGTCCCATTTGGTAAGAGTTATAATATTACAATTGTGGTTTAAGATGTTTCTATGGACACAGAATCATATTAAGCACTCTTTAAAAAAAGAGCCATATTTTGAGGCTGGCTCATGCCTGTAATCCCAGCACTTCGGGAGGCTGAGGCGGGAGACTCACTTGAGGTCAGGGGTTTGAGACCAGTCTGGGCAACATAATAAGCCTTCTATCTCTACAAAATCTTTTAAAAAATTAGTTGGGTGCTCGCTTCGGCAGCACATATACTAAAATTGGAACGATACAGAGAAGATTAGCATGGCCCCTGAGCAAAGATGACATGCAAATTCGTGAAGTATTCCATATTTTTAAAAGAAAAAAAAATTAGTTGGGCGCAGTGGCACCTGTAGTGTCAGCTACTAGAGAAGCTGAGGCAGAAAGATTACTTGAGCCCAGAAGGTGAGGCTGCAGCAAGCTTGAACCTCCACCTCCTGGGTTCAAGCTTTTCTCCTGCCTCAGCCTCCCGAGTAACTGGGACTACAGGCATGCGCCACCATGCCTGGCTAATTTTTGTATTTTTAGTAGAGACAGGGTTTCACCATGTTGGCCAAGACAGTCTTGATCCTTGAATACTATGCAGCCATGAAAAAGGATGAGTTCATGTCCTTTGCAAGGACATGGATGAAGCTGGAAACTATCATTCTCAGCAAACTGACAAAAGAACAGAAAACCAAACATCACATGTTCTCACTCATAAGTGGGTGTTGAACAATGAGAAAACATGCACACAGGGAGGGGAACACCGCACTCCAGCCTGGGTGACAGACACTGTCTCTAAAAAAAAAAAAAAAAAAAAAAAGAAAAGAAAAGAAAAAGGAAGAAAAGGAAAATTGTTTCTCAAATAATAAAGCATATGTCTTTCTAGAATTTTCTTTTTTACCTTTAAGCTCAATTGGATTTGAAATTTCTATAATTTTTTTTTTTTTTTGAGACGGAGTTTCGCTCTTGTTACCCAGGCTGGAGTGCAATGGCGCGATCTTGGCTCACCGCAACCTCCACCTCCTGGGTTCAGGTAATTCTCCTGCCTCAGCCTCCTGGGTAGCTGGGATTATAGGCACGCGCCACCATGCCCAGCTAATTTTTTGTATTTTTAGTAGAGACGGGGTTTCACCATGTTGTCCAGGTTGGTCTCGATCTCTCGACCTTATGATCCACCCGCCTCGGCCTCCCAAAGTGCTGGGATTACAGGCTTGAGCCACCGTGCCCGGCCGAAATTTCTATAATTTTAACTACATTTCTAGTTATCAGAATTTTCTGAGGAAAGATTTGTTTCATCTACTCAGTCATATGAATTCAATCTGAATTATTACATTGATTTCTATTTTCTTTTTTTTTTTTTTTTTTTTTGAGACGGAGTTTTGCTCTTGTTACCCAGGCTAGAGTGCAATGGCGCAATCTCGGCTCACCACAACCTCCGCCTCCTGGGTTCAGGCAATTCTCCTGCCTCAGCCTCCTGAGTAGCTGGGATTACAGGCACGCGCCACCATGGCCAGCTAATTTTTTGTATTTTTAGTAGAGACGGGGTTTCACCTTGTTGACCAGGATGGTCTCGATCTCTTGACCTCCTGATCCACCCGCCTCGGCCTCCCAAAGTGCTGGGATTACAGGCTTGAGCCACCGTGCCCGGCCCTCTATTTTCTTTACTTTAAAGATGTTACTCTTTGCTGTAAGAGATGTAGCTGACATAACTGAATTTTATTTTTCCTTTTGTAGTTGCCATTTTGCCAAGTTTTATTTCTCTGAAGATATTAAATCTTGAAACCAGCAATTTCCTGAGGAGGAAACATCTGAAAAAGTTGGTATGTTTACAAAATACTGCTTTTTACATATTCTTATTCTTTCTGCCCAGAATTCTTTTTTTCCTATTTTGTATTAGCCACAAGGAAGCAAGATATGTATTAGCTGCCCTTGCTTATTAGGAGGAAGTGACAGTGATGCTCAACTTTTACCCCCTGCCAATGCCTTCACTATAGTTTTACCTCCAGAATTGATTTCAAAGCAGAATGACTTTTTTATTTTTATTTTTATTTATTTTTTTCTTTTTGAGATGAAGTCTTGCTCTGTCACTCAGGCTGGAGTGCAGTGCAGTGCAGTGGTGCAATCTCAGCTCACTGCAACCTCTGCCTCCCAGGTTCAAGCAATTCTCATGCCTGAGCCTCCTGAGTAGCTGGGATTACAGGCACCCACCACCACACCCAGCTAATTTTTGTATTTTTAGTAGAGACAGGGTTTTACCATGTTGGCCAACCTCGTCTTGAACTCCTGACCTCAGGTGATCTGTTCGCCTTGGCCTCGCAAAGTCCCGGGATTACAGGTTTGAGCCACTGAGCCCGGCCTCAAAGCAGAATGACTTCTTAGAATACACATCTAGTCATTATAGCACTATGCAATTTCATTGTCAGATATCTGTTTCAAATGAGACCTCACTGTTTCAATGGTTACTGAAATATAGGTAAAAATCTTTTTTTTTTTTTTTAAACAGAGTTTTACTCTTGTTGCCCAGGCTGGAGTGCAATGGCGCCATCTTAGCTCACTGCAACCTCTACCTCCAGGGTTCAAGTGATTCTCTTGCCTCAGCCTCCCAAATATCTGGAATTACAGGTGCCTACCATAATGCTCAGCTAACTTTTTGTATTTTTAGTAGAGACAGAGTTACACTGTATTGGCCAGGCAGTTCTTGCACTCCTGACCTCAGGTGATTCACCCACCTTGGCCTCCCAAAGTGCTGTGATTACAGGTGTGAGCCATGTGCCTGGCCAAAATCTATCTTTTAAGGTTAAAAAAACTCAATCTATGAAAACTATATTTCATAAAATGATAGCCATAGAATTTAAATTTTTTTTTTTTTTTTTTTTTTAGACGTAGTTTCACTCTTGTTACCCAGGCTGGAGTGCAACGGCACGATCTCGGCTCACCACAACCTCCGCCTCCTGGGTTCAGGCAATTCTCCTGCCTCAGCCTCCTGAGTAGCTGGGATTACAGGCACGCGCCACCATGGCCAGCTAATTTTTTGTATTTTTAGTAGAGACGGGGTTTCACCTTGTTGACCAGGATGGTCTCGATCTCTTGACCTCGTGAGCCACCCGCCTCGGCCTCCCAAAGTGCTGGGATTACAGGCTTGAGCCACTGCGCCCGGCCATATGTTTTGATTTTTAAAAAATGATTATGAAAGTAATGTATGTTCATGGAAAACATTCTAACAGAAAAAAAATATAAAGGGAGGCAGTGGAGATAGGGACTGCAGAGCTGTGCTATTCAAAGTGCTTCTCAAACATAAGCATGCATAAGGATTGCCAGGACCCTCCTCTTCTCTTCCCTTCCTTTGGAGGCAGCTAAGTGGGTGGGGGCTGAGGTGGCAGAGGTAAAATCAGGGTCAAGGAGATGGCTGGCATATATCACAGGCTGATTAAGCAAATAATACAGTGAATATTGATAGGCACAGTGGCACACACCTGTAATCCCAGCACTTTGGGAGGCTGAGGTAGGGGGGATCACCTGAGGTCAGGAGTTCAAGACCAGCCTGGCCAACATAGTAAAACCCTGTCTCTATTAAAAATACAAAAATTAGTTAGGCGTGGTGGCCAATGCCTGTAATCCCAGCTACTTGGGAAGCTGAGGCAGAAGAATCTTTTGAACCTGGAGGCAGAGGTTGCAATGAGCCAAGATCAGGCCACTGTACTCCAGTCTAGGTGACAGCGCAAGACTCCATCTTAAACAAAATAACAGTGAGAATGAGAGATTTCTTCAAGTTGGAAAAGGAATTTACAAATATTGAAAGGTGAGGCTAGAAAGAGCTTTGAGGTGATGGATTAGAATTGAAAATATTGGTCTGGCCTCATGGCTTTTAACTCATGAACATACATAAACAGAGATCTCTGTGTATATGCATTGATCTCCACATGTCTGTACACACACACATACATATTTCTCAGCTCAGTCAATGGAGAGACTAGAAGGCACTGCAGTAATAATGAACATACCAAGTACCCAGATGTTGATTTCTAAATCTGGTCCTTCCTTAAAGGAACAAGGGTACTTGCAGAATTGGCTGATGCAAGAACTGAGACAGGGAAAGAAAACAATAAGCCTGGGACATTGTTTTATGCTAGAAAGGACTCAATATATTTGTATGCGTCAGGCCTCAGAAGTTCAGAACTTTTAGTGATCAAGTGATCTATAGTGTACATACTAGGAAGGAGTGAAAGTGAAAAGGAAGGTTCTAAGAGTGGTGGACTATAAGGCTTTAGGGCCGGAAGGGAAGTGCAGAATCACTGAAGATGACAGCGGGAGGTGGGATGGGAAGGGAGGCTGCTGCAGAGCTGGGAGAGGAACCTGCAGGTCAGAAAAAGCTTCATTCTAGACGATGAAATGGAGATCTAACAGGCAGCCTGGATTTCAGTGCAGGAGAGACTGACTGGTAGAGGGTGGTGGGGGATTTGTATGGAGGTAGCGAGGAGGATGGAAGCACATGCTGACCCTTCTCTTGCCCTCAGAGAGTGACAGGAATAGCCTCTATGCCACACGGAGCTTCCTGGACCACGCATGTTTACACCTCACATGATTTTCAGATTACTGCTGCAAAGAAACAAAAAGTACAAAGAGAATAGCTTTTTGGTCTTTTCTGACAGCCTATGCTTTAGGTTCTTTTAATAATCTACCTCCTGGGGACAAACTACATCGGCTGGCCAAACTGATCATCCAACAGTGTCAGCAGCTTCACTGTCTCTGAATCCTCTCATTTTTCCAGACGTTGAACAATGACAGCGTGGTGAAAACTGGTGAGCTAAAGTGTTTCAGCTTGCATGGAAGCTAGTGGTATAGTCGAGCTTCTGCTGCAACGTGCCTAAAAAACATTTGCCCCTCTAGAAATTTTCAATCCGCTTCCTCATTTTCACTATCATACTGTTCCCTCTAGTGTCCTTCTGTGAATTTAGGTGCATTCTGGTCAGATTTGAAAGTAGAAAAAGGTCTCCCATTTGCAGATATACAAGCCTTCCAATCTGTGTTCTTGTCACCTGGTGTTTCAGGCCCCTGGCCACATAACCTCCTAAGTACTCTCTTGTAAAACTGACGATGAATATACACACAGAAAAGTACAAAAATCATATGTGTACTGCTCAACGAATTTTGTTTGAGATGGAAGTTTGCTCTTGTTGCCCAGGCTGGAGTGCAGTAGCATGATCTTAGCTCACTGCAACCTCCCCACTCCCGGGTTCAAGTGATTCTCCTGCTTCAGCCTCCCAAGTAGCTGGGATTACAGGCGTGCACCACCACCCCCGGCTAATTTTTATATTTTTAGTGAACACAAGGTTTCACCATGTTGGCCAGGTTAGTCTCAAACTCCTGACCTCAAGTGACCTGTCCTCCTCAGCCTACCCAAGTGTTGGGATTATAGGCGTAAGCCATCACGCCTGCCCTAGAAATGTCTTTTACTTTGCTTTTGAAATATATATTTTTTTAGTGAGTATAGAATTCTATTTTTGGCCTTGTTTTCTCTCACATTTCTAGCTTCCATCATATCTTTTGTTTAGGAAGCTGTCAGTCTTTTTGTTGTGCTCTTGAAGGGGAGGGATTATCCTTCCCCCCCCTCCTTTGGTGGCTTTTAAGATTATTTTCTTTGTTTTCTTTTGTGGCAGTTGCTATGAACTTGTGTGCCCCCAGAATCCATGTGTTGAAGCCCTAACCCCCAATGTGATTGTATGTGGAGACAGGACATTTTAGGGCATTTTCTTATGGCCAACTGAGCAAACAGCAGCAGCAGGTATACTCTAACATGTCCTAATGGATTCCTTTGTATTTACTCTGTTGGTGGTTTGTAGAATTGATTGGTTTTGTGCCTGATGTCTTTTATCAGTTTTGGGAAGTTCTTGGCCAATATGTGTATAGCTTCTGCCCAGTTCTTCTCCTCCATTCTTCTCTCTTCTCCTTGCATATTGCAGGACTCAACCTAATTTGGAACCAGGAGAGGCCTTTTTTAGAAACTGAGGTTTCTTTTTCTTTCTTTTTTTCTTTTGTTTTACTGAGGCAGAGTCTTGCTCTGTCACCTAGGCTGGAGTGCACTGGTGTGATCTCGGCTCACTGCAACCTTGACCTCCTGAGTTCAAGCGATTCTCCTGCCTCAGCCTCCTGAGTAGCTGGGACTATGCACCACCATGCCTAGCTAATTTTTGTATTTTTAGTAGAGACAGGGTTTCGCCATGTTGTCCAGGCTGGTCTCAAAATCCTTACCTCAAGTGATATGCCCACCTCAGCATCCCAAAGTGCTGGGATTATAGGCATGAGCCAATGACCAGCCTGAGGAACTGAGATTCTTTTTTTAAATTAATTATTATTATTTTTTTTATTATACTTTAAGGTCTGGGGTACATGTGCAGAAAGCACAGGTTTGCAACATAGGTATACACATGCCATGGTGTTTTGCTGCATCCATGCCCCCGTCATCTACATTAGGTATTTCTCCTAATGTTATACCTCCCTAATCCCCTACACCCTGCTATCCCTCCCCTAGCCCTCCACCCCCAACAGGCCCCAGTGTGTGATGTTCCCCTCCCTGTGTCCATGTGTTCTCATTGTTCAACACCCACTTATGAGTGAGAACATGCAGTGTTTGGTTTTCTGTTCTTGTGTCAGTTTGCTGAGAATGATCCATGCCCCTGCAAAGGACATGAACTCATTGTTTTTTATGGCTGCATAGTATTCCATGGTGTATATATGCCACATTTTATTTATCCAGTCTATCATTGATGGGCATTTGGGTTGGTTCCAAGTCTTTGCTATTGTAAACAGTGCAGCAATGAACGTATGTGTGCAAGTGTCTTTTATTAACAGAATGATTTCTAATCCTTTGGGTATATAACCAGTAATGGGATTGCTGGATCAAATGATATTTCTAGTTCTAGATCCTTGAGGAATCACCACACTGTCTTCCACAATGGTTGAACTAATCTACACTCCCACCAACAATGTAAAAGCATTCTTATTTCTCCACATCCTCTCCAGCATCTGTTGTCTCCTTTTTTAATGATTCCCATTCTAACTGGCATGAGATGGTATCTCACTATGGTTTTGATTTGCATTTCTCTATTGACCAGTGATGATGGGCTTTTTCTCACGTTTGTTGGCTGCATAAATGTCTTCTTTTGAAAAGTGTCTGTTCATACCCTTTGCCCACTTTTTGATGGGGTTGCTTTTACCTTATAAATTTATATAAGTTCTTTGTAGATTCTGAATATTAGCCCTTCATCAGATGGGTAGATTGCAAATTTTTTTTTCCATTCTGTTGGTTGCTGGTTCACACTAATGTTATATTTTCTTTCAGTGTGCAGCAGCTCTTAAGTTTAACTAGATCCTATTTGTCTATTTTGGTTTTTGTTGCCATTGCTTTTGGTGTTTTAGTTATGAAGTCCCTGCCTACACATATGTCCTGAATGGTACTGCCTTGGGTTTCTTCTAGGATTCCTATGGTGTTAGGTCTTACGTTTAAATCATTAATCCATCTAGAGTTAGTTTTTGTATAAGGTGTAAGGAAGGGTCCAGTTTCAGCTTTCTGCATGTGGCTAGCCAGTGTTTCCCAACACCATCTATTAAATAGGGAATCCTTTCCCCATTGCTTGTTTTTGTCAGGTTTGTCAAAGATCAGATGGTTGTAGATGTGTGGCGTTACTTCTGAGGTCTCTGGTCTGTTCCATTGGTTTTTTATCTCTATTTTGGTACCAGTACCATGCTGTTTTGATTACTGTAGCTTTGTAGTATAGTTTGAAGTCAGATAGCATGATGATTCCAGCTTTGTTTTTTTTTGCTTAGGATTGTCTTGGCTATGGAGGCTCTTTTTTGCTTCCATATGAAGTTTAAGGTGGTTTTTTCCAATTCTGTGAAGAAAGTCAATGGTAGCTTGATGGGAACAGCATTGAATCTATTAAGTTACTTTTGGCAGTATGGCCATTTTCATGATATTGATTCTCCCTAACCACAAGCATGGAATGTTTTTTCTATCTGTTTGTGTCCTCTCTTATTTCCTTGAGCAGTGGTTTGTAGTTCTCCATGAAGAGGTCCTTCACATCCCTTGTTAGTTGTATTCCTCAGCATTTTATTCTCTTCGTAGCAATTGTGAATGGGAGTTCACTAACGATTTGGCTGTTTGTTATTGGTGTATAGGAATGCTTGTGATTTTTGCACATTGATTTTGTATCCTGAGACTGCATTAGTTGCTTATCAGCTTAAGGAGATTTTTGCACTGAGTTGACTGGGTCTTCTAAATATGCAATCATGTCATCTGCAAATAGAAACAATTTGACTTCCTCTTCCCCTAATTTAATATTCTTTTTTTTTTTTTTTTCCTTTTTCTTGCCTGATTTCCCTGGCCAGAACTTCCAACACTGTGTTGTATAGGAGTGGTGAGAGAGGGTATCCTTGTCTTGTGCTAGTTTTCACCCATTCAGTATGATATTGGCTGTGGGTTTGTCATAAACAGCTTATTATTTTGAGATACGTTCCATCAACACCTAGTTTATTGAGAGTTTTTAGCATAAAGGGCTGTTGAATTTTGTTGAAGGCCTTCTCTGCATCTGTTCAGATAATGTGGTTTTTGTCTTTGGTTCTGTTTATGTGATGGATTATATTTATACATTTGCGTATGTTGAACCAGCCTTGCATCCCAGGGATGAAACCAACTTGATTGTGATAAGCTTCTTGATGTGCTGTTGGATTGGGTTTGCCAGTATTTTACTGAGGATTTTTGCATCAATGTTCATCATGGATATCCACTGGAAATTTTCTTTTTTAGTTGAGTTGCTGCCAGGTTTTGGTATCAGGATTATGTTGGTCTCATAAAATGAGTCAAGAATAATTCTCTCTTTTTGTATTGTTTGGAATAGTTTCAGAAGGAATAGTAGCAGCTCCTCTTTGTACCTCTGGTAGAATTCAGCTGTGAACCTATCTGGTCCTAGACTTTTTTTGGTTGGTAGGCTATTAATTGCTGTCTCAATTTCAGACCTTGTTATTGGTCTATTCAAGGATTCAACTTCTTCCTGGTTTAGTCTTGGGAGCATTTAATTGTCCAGGAATTTATCTATTTTTTCTAGATTTACTGATTTATGTTCATAGAGGTGTTTGTAGTAATCTCTGATGGTAGTTTGTATTTCTGTGGGATTGATGGTGATATCCCCTTTATCATTTTTTTTATTGCATCTATTTGATTCTTCTCTTCTTTTTTATTAGTCTGGCTAGCAGTCTGTCTACTTTGTTGATCTTTTCAAAGAAGTGGCTCCTGGATTTATTGATTTTTTTGAAGGGTTTTTTGTGTGTCTGTCTCATTCAGTTCTGCTTTGATCTTAGTTGTTTCTTGTCTTTGGCTAGCTTTTGAATTTGATCTTGTTCCTCTAGTTCTTTTAATCCTGATGTTAGGGTGTCGGTTTTAGATCTTTCCTCACTTCTCATGTGGACGCTTACTGCTAAAAATTTCCCTCTAGACACTGCTTTAAATGTGTTCCAGAGATTCTGGTACATTGTGTCTTCATTCTTTTTTTTTTTTTTTTTTTTTGCATGCACTTAGGGCATAGTGTCTTTGTTCTCATTGGTTTCAAAGAACATCTGTATTTCTGCCTTCATTTCGTTATTTATCCAGTAGTCACTCAGAAGCAGGTTGTTTAGTTTCCATGTAGTTGTGTGGTTTTGAGTGAGTTTCTTAATCCTGAGTTCTAATTTGATTGCACTGTGTTCTGAGAGACTGTTATGATTTCTGTTCTTTTGCATTTGCTGAGGAGTCATTTACTTCCAATTA